CATTAAATATGATATTGGTTGTGGGTTTGTCATAAATAGCTTGTATTGTTTTGAGATACATTCCATCAATACATAGTTTATTGAGAGTTTTTAGCATAAAGGGCTGTTGAATTTTGTCAATGGCCTTCTCTGCATCTATTGAGATAATCATGTGGTTTTTGTTTTTGGTTCTGTTTATGTGGTAAATTACATTTATAGATTTGTGTATGTCGAACCAGCCTTGCATCCCTGGGATGAAGCCTACTTGATCGTGATGGATAAGCATTTTGATGTGCTATTGCAATCGGTCTGCCAGTATTTTATTGAATATTTTTGCTTCAATGTTCATCATGGATATTGGCCTGTAGTATAATTAATAGACTACCAACCAAAAAAAGTCCAGGTCCAGACAGCTTCACAGCTGAATTCTACCAGACATACAAAGAGGAGCTGGTACCATTCCTGTTGAAACTATTCCAAACAATACAAAAAGAGGGAATCCTCCCTAACTTTTTCTAGGAGGCCAACATCATCCTGATACCCAACTCTGGGTGCTTTTTAAAAATGTCATTCCCAGCAGGGTGCAGTGGTTCACACCTGTAATCTCAGCACTTTGGGAGGTCAAGGTGAGTGCATCACCTGAGGTCAGGACTAAGATACCAGCCTGACCAACATGGAGAAACCCATCTCTACTATAAATACAAAATTAGCCAGGTGTGGTGGTGCATGCTTGTAGTCCCATCTACTCGGGAGGCTGAGGCAGGAGAATTACTTGAACTCAGGAGGCCGAGGTTGTGGTGAGCTGAGATTATGCCATTGCACTCAAGCCTGGGCAACAAGAGTGAAACTCTATCTCAAAAAAAATAAATAAATAAAAATAAAACAATGTCATTCCCAGGCTAGATTCAATGGCTCCTGCACTTTGGGAGACTAAGATTAATCGCTTGAGACAAGGAGTCTGAGACCAGCCCAGACAACAAATTGAAACCTGTATCTATAAAATTGTTTTTTAAAAAATGAGCCAAGCATGGTGCCATGTGCCTGGGGTCTCAGCTACACAGGAGGCCAAGGCAGGAGGATCACTTGAGTCCAAGAGACTGAGGCTGCACTGAGCCATCATTTCACCACCGCACTCCACGCTGGGTAATACGGCAAGACCCTGTCTCAGAAAAAAAATAAATAAATAAGCCATTCCCAGGTCAAACTCCCAGCCACTCTTATGGCCATAGGTCTGGGGTGGTGCCTGGGACTCTGCATCTGGAAGTCATTCCTCCAGAGGATACTAATGCAAGCAACGCTTGACCATGCTTAGAAGAATCACTGTCTGGTCAATGCTTCCAATCGGCTTCTGTCAATTACTGCAGATTTTGAGAGGAATGTCTAAGACACAAGAGATCCCTCCAACCCAATGCCTGCCTCCCCCTAAAATGACTCTACATTTTTTAAAGGGGTCATGCACATTCTGTGACTGCTCCCAAGGACTCCAGCCTGGAATTTCCTGTGAAGGCTTTGCAAACCCCCTCCCCACCTGCCCCCCCCATTTACCCTCCTCCTGCCCCACCCACCCCTCCTCACCTCAGTATATCTGCTAGGTTGCCTGTAAATGGAGGTACCTTCAATTCCAAAGCAACTTAGGCTGTTTAATTGCACTAATTGCCACCCCAGGCTGTAAGTTTCATGTTAATGCTCTACCAGGTGATTCATGTGGTAAATTACACACTTGAGATTTCACCAAGATTTACCTGCTAATCCTAAACTCACTTAAGATACTATTCATGCCCACACCCCCAGATCCGGCAGCTGGAAGAGAGGTACAGATGGGCCTAGAGACCTCACACAATGCCTTCTTGCATCCTTGTCTACACCTCAATGATTTTTCTCCTGTCATCTGTCCTTTGACAATTCTGACGCTCCCTACCCTGCAGCAGGCAGGGACCTACTTGCAGACAAATGCCCTGACCTGGCCACATCATCAGCTCCCAGGGTTGGATTACAATTGAATGTATGAAAAAATAATCTGTCCCAAATAGTTTGCATTATCCTCAGCAAACTAACACAGGAACAGAAAAATCAAATGCTGCATGTATTCACTTATAAGTGGGAGCTGAACAACGAGAACACAAATACTTGGGATTATAGCCAGAATCTCAGCAGAGTCATCCATTTAAGAATTACAGTTAATATTTTTTCAACCTTCTAACCACTTCTTAACAGTTGTCTTCACATCTAATCTTCTTCTTCTATACTTACCTGGGGGAATTAATCATTCTAATTCTAATTAATCTTCAGATTAATCATTCTAAAGCCACCACTTCGCCCATCTTGCTCACAGCTCAAACACCTTCCATGGCTGTCTTCAAACCCTTCAGGATGACTTTCATAGTCCAGCCCAGCTCTGGTTATCTCTTGCTGTGTAACAAACCACCCTAAACTTAGCGAAGTGAAACATCATGGTTCTGGGAAGCAACTAGGTTCAGCAGGATGGATTGTGTTTGAGTAAGATAGTGGCAGGGTCTAGAGGTATCTTGAAGCCTTCCTCATTTACATATATGGTGCCTGGGCTGGGAGATTGAACCATTGGGGTGCAAATAGCTTGGGCTCCTTAGGCATCTCTGGTCTCTGTGATATCTCTGTGTGTTCCCTCTACCATGGTGGCTCAAAGCTCCAAAGGGGAAGGGAGGGCCAGGCAGAAACTGTAGCTCCTTATGACCTTACCACCCAGCCTCAGAAGTCACACAGCATCATTTCTACCAAAAGTCACAAAGATACCACATATTCAAGGAGGGGATGGAATTAGCATCCACCTCTTGATAGGCAGAGTATCAAGAATTTGTGGATGTGTTTTGAAACCACTATAAGCCCTATGCTCCTTGTGACAAGTGTGGACCAGGATTTCATTTCTCAACTGGGCCATCTGCTTCCAGTCAAACTATACCTTATTTTCAAAGTACACCTAAAACTTGCCCATGACTCTCCCATTATCTTTGTAGGAACACACCCTTTGTAGGGGGCAGGGCCTTTGTAGGGCCCTGCTCCCATAGGACTGGCATCCTTATAAGAAAAGGAGAACCAACCCAAATGCCCATCAATGATAAGACTAGATAAAGAAAATGTGGTACATATACACCATGGAATACTATGTAGTCATGAAAAGGAATGAGATCATGTCCTTTTCAGGCCATGGATGGAGCTGGAAGGCATAATCCTCAGCAAACTAACACAGGAACAGAAAATCAAATACTGCATATGTTCACTTATAAGTGGGAGCTGAACAATGAGAACACATGGACACAGGAAGTGAAACAACATAGACTGTGGCCTGTCAGAGGAGGGCAAGGCTGGGGGGAAGAGCATCAGAAGAAAACAGCTAATGCATGCAAGGCTTAATACCTCAGTGAGGGGTTGATAGGAGGAGCAAACCACCATGGCACACATTTACCTATGTAACAAACCTGCACACACAGCTCATGTACTCAAAAAAAAAAAAAAAATTAACCCACTGGAAAAACAAAAAAATGAAAAGGAGAACGGATACCTCACCTTGCCCACCATCCTTATAACTAAATCCTACTGGCCATCCTAAATACTTCCCCACCCAAGCTCAGTCTCTTTCTTATGCCGATTATTATTTGCACAATTCATTGGATAGCTTATCATTCTCTGCTTTGTTCTATCACTTCTATTTCCATCTTGCTATTTGGCCGTGTCTTTTAGCATTTAACATCTCATGTGTGGATAGTTTCTCCTTAGTTCCCTGGGCAAGTCTTCATGATAGTCACTACCGGATGCTTACCATACACCAGCCACCGCACTTTGTCTTTTGCTGACAGTAACCCACCTATTCTAGACAGCAACCTGGGAAACACAGGGGTTAGTAGTAACTCATTTTGCTGATAAGAAACCAAGGCCCTGATGGGTTAGCTTCTGTGGCCAAGTTCACGCAGGCTCAGAAGCAAGAAAAGTGGGACTCAAACCCATTTTTCCATGTTCCAAAGCCTAATCTCTTCACCCCTTTACTGACTCACCTCTTACTTTTATCTGCATCTCTTCCATTTTCTCACTCAGGACACCCACAAAAACACTATCCATGTGATTTTAATTTCTCTACCTTGGTTTGATTGTACCTGAGGCCCAATACAATTTATTCCTAGCAGGAAGGAATTTCCTAGGAATAAATAAAATGTGCCCCGTTAATATTTTTGGTTTGATGGAGAAGAATAGACTTAGTTACAAGGTTGCTGGCACAAGTTTGGAAGATTGTGGCAAGAACCGTTGGGTCTTCTCTGGGTTCTTTGGTTGCCTTTATTGCCTGGGCAAATCCTTCCTATTCTCAGTGTGTTTCCACTCCTCATACACATTCCTTAGGCTTCAGCTTTTCAGAGAAGGCTTACAACTACCCTGACCTACCACCACAGAATGACATCAGTTCTCCCAGGATGCTATTAGGGGGTGAACTGTGTCCCCCCAAAAGATAGGTTGATGTCTTGGCCCCTAGGAACTAAGCATTTGATCTTATTTGGAAATAGTCTTTGCAGATGGAATCGAGTTTAGATGAGGTCACCAAGGGAGCCCTGCTGCAATAGGACTGGCATCCTTACAAGAAAAAGAGAACAAGCTGGGCGTGGTGGCTCATTTCTGTAATCCCAGCACTTTGGGAGGCTGAGATGGACAGATTACCTGATGTCAGGAGTTTGAGACCAGCCTGGCCAACATGGTAAAACCCCATCTCTACTAAAAATACAAAAATTAGTTGGGCATGGTGACAGGTGCCTGTAATCCCAGCTACTTGGGAAGCTGAGGCAGGAGAATTGCTTTAACCCAGAATGCGGATGTTGCAGTGAGCCAAGGTCGTGCCATTGCACTACAGCCTGGGCAACAAGAGTGAGATTCCATCTTAAAAAAAAAGGAAAGAAAAGGAGAACAGAAACACGGGGAAAACACCATGTGACAACAGAGACAAAGCAGAAAGTGATACAGTCAAGGGTTTCCCCAGAAGCCGGAAGAGTAAGGAGGGATTTTACCTGCAAAGCCTTCACAGGGAGCATTGCCATACACACACCTTGGCTTTGGACTTCTGGCCTCCAGAGCTGCAAGAGAATATATTTTTTTGTTGTTTCCAGCCACCCAGTTGTCATACTTTGTCACAGCAGCAATAGGAAATGAATGCACACCTTATCGTACTTTAAAGCATGTGCCGTACCTAGAATCAAGCCATTTGTATAAGTATTTATTTAACAGCCATTTGCTAAGAAAGAATCAAGTCCTCGACAGCATCAGCTCTGTTGTGCCTGTGGCACAACAGGGAGCATAGAGCAGGCCCTCAGTAAATAGCTTTTGCCTGCACACATGAATGGAAGCCTCTCCCCTCCATGTTAGCTCTCTCAAGGCCTGTCCCCCTTCTGGAGGCCCCCAGAGCCACACTGCGATGGCTGGGGTCTTGCTGGAGTCTGCTCTCCCTGGGACACATGGGGAGGACTGTGTGGATTCACATGGACCTGGAGGCATGCGTGCGCCCCATCTAACTGACTTAATCCCACTGCTAATAGGGTACCCAGAAGATCCATCAGATACCTGCCCTCTAAGCTCCTCACCTCTGAGTAATTAACTAATGGGTAGTTGGAAGTAATCAAAGACTCCTATCAGAGCCTATCAGCCAAATCTCCTTTGGAAGTCTGAAAACAAAGATTATCTGCAATGCCCAGGCCTCAAAACCAGGGAAATAAACCTGTATAGAATCAAACTCCCTGCCTCCAACTGAAGAATGTACGGGCTCCTGTTATAACCTTCCGGCATTCTTAGGGTAAAAACCGTATTCAGCTGCCAACCTTTCTCTTAAATTGCCCATCCAAGATAGACCATTATTATAATGAAATACCTCAGCTGGGAATGTGCTTGGTTTCAGCTAAAAGGTTTTCTTTCTGACTGCTGTGCTAGTAGGCGCTGCCTTAATTTGGGGGAACTTCCCTTTGGCTGTTTTGAAAGGACTTCGACAGGTCTGTTTATATTTTATTTGATTTGCTTCATTTCAGTGTGTGGGTCAGCCTGCCCCAGTCCTAATGATGATGAAAACTGGAAAAGATGGGGCAGCCCCAAGAAAGGATTAAGGAAAGAGCAATCATTTTAGTGAGGGAGAAATGGGAGTCAAGCCTGTGGTTCTAGAAGGCTCCACGTCCTTCTGCCCTGTGGGAAACCCACCGGGAGCTGGAAGAAAGTGCTCTGATCTGGGGTTTGCAGCCTTGGAACCCTCTGGGTCTTCTTGTTTGAACCATAAATGTCTTTGCACACGGCTGTCTCAGGAGGACCTGATTTTCAGACAAGGGTTAAAGTTCATGCCAAATTCCAAAATGCTTAGAGCTCAAATTCAAGGGAGGTTAGGTGGTCAGAGGCCTTGTCAATACTTGAAGAGTAAAACACTTGCATGTCCATCAAAGGTCCTGTTTGATCTGATATCTGGGTCTGCCCTCTCTTCCAGCATCGAGGCTTCAACCCAAAGGTCTCAAGCTGGTGGTTCTACGGCCAAATCTGGCGCACATGGATACGTTTTGTTCAATCTGTCCAGCGTTTGTTGATTTTATTTACATTTCTCTTAATTTTTTTTTGCTGAGTCATCAAGATAAAAGAACATGGGAAATTTCACATTAAAATATCCTTGCAAAATCAGAAAATCTAGCCCCTGGGCTTGCATTTCCATGTGGCGACTATTGACCACAAATGGAGAGCAGCCAATGCCTGGCAGATGAGGGGACCTCCTTATCCCACATCACTCATGTCTCTGACCTGCCAGGTTCTGGTGAGATTAGTTTGAGACCCGCCCTACTCATCTAAGCATTCAGCCACACAGCTCTACTATTTCTACCACAGTGACAAATTAAATGTCACCCTTTCCACAAAGACTCTCAAACCCTCCCAACAGAAAACTTCCCACCTGGCCCCACCATAGGTTTGTGTTTCATTTGCCTAACTCATTTGGGTATAGATCCTCCCGTCTGTCTGTGTGATCTGAATAACTTCATTCATCTCTGTTGACTTAGCCCACATGTCATCTCCTTCAGGAAGCCTTCCCTGATTGCTCCTCCCTCTTCCAGCCTGCTGCCTTTCACTGCTTCTGCCTTTCCATCACCCTTGTTTCTTCTCCCTGATGGGCAGGGAGAGGGCAGAGGCTCGGCTCTGTAAACTCAGGAGGAAGCATGCAGCTTGGCATCTGGGAGGGTCTCTAGGGAAGTGTTTCCAGAATAGAGAATGGGACAGAAAGGAAGAAAAGGCTCATTTGCTCAGGATATTCAATTAGAATGCTGTCAGCAGGAATGCATCATTATAATAATAGTAATAATAATATTAATAGTTCCTAGCACCTACTGGGGGCTTTGTGAGTCTTTTACATATTAATTTATTGTGTTAGTTTCAGTCCTCTGGGAAGCAGAAGTCTAGATGGAATGAGATATTTACTGAGGGAGATATTGGTGAAGGATAAAGGGGAATGAAGCAGGAGAATTCCAGGAGAATGTGCACTTCAGGACCCAGGTCCCACGGGGTAGGAGAGGGGAAGGAAGGAGAATTGGGCAGGAAGGTAGGTCTGGTCTGGTCTGAGATAGTCTCTGCCTGGTGATGAGGAGTGGCCTGCAGAGACTGTCCAACAGAGCAGTCTCACACCAGGCAGGAGAGGCTGGGCTCCAGCACCTCTGCGAAGCCCAATCATTGACTGGGAGAGCAGGTCCTGGCTGTGCACGCTTGGGTGATCTTGAGGTGGGTCATCTGGAGGCTCTCAGCTTGCAGGACCTCACACAAGGAGGTCTGAAGTTCCCAGCTCCAGGGCTGCAGCACCCAGATAATCCCCACAACCCCCCTAGGTGCCACTGTTGCTACTGTCCAGCTGAGCCTTAGGGGAAGTGATAGGACCTAGCCCAAAGCTACGGAGCTCTTAGAGATGGAACTAGGTATCAATACCAAATCAGGCGTGCAGCCACCCTACACCCTACCTCTGATCCTCTGCAACCCTCGGGGAAAGACAGGTTATTAAAGTCAGGGTTGATGGCCCAAAGCCCATTTTTCTGAGAAGGAATATGGGATCCTGAGCTAAGGAGCCGACTTGGCCATTCCGGAGAAAGGCCAGCAGGCACACCCAGGACTCCTGGCCTCCTGCAGCCCAGAGGAAGGAGACTCTGAGGCACCGATCCTCTGGGTTAGCAGGAGGTGGATTTCCACCAGCTCCTTTGTCAACCCCTCCCTAGCCCCACTAATGATGATATCACCAGCCAAGTCCTACAGAACAGCTTCTGTTGTCGGGGACTGTTGAACCACTTATATCTTTGCCTGTCTTTAACCTCCCAGCATCCTGGTGATGCAGAGATCTTTAGTCTCCCCATTTCCAGGGGGAGAAAGTAGAGACACAGAGAAGCAAGACACTACTTGCCCAAGGCCACAGCTAGTTAAAGGCAAAGCTGAGATGCAAAGCCAGGTAGGCCCCGCTATTCAAGGCTCTGCTAACTTCAGCCAAGCAAGTAAAAAAGAATGGATGTCCCGTGAACATCCTGTGGCATCTTTGGAGAACGTTGCTGTTTTTATTAATCTCTCTCAAGATGGATGTTGCTCAAACGCAGCAGCGTCGTGACGGTGCCAGTAGCCAGCAGTCTCCTGTCCGCGTGGGTTGCGATCCCCGGGCGTGGACGGGGTTGGGAGCAAAGGGCGGCAGGTGCCGGCGGGGCCCGCCTCTCCCCGAAGGCGGCCCCCAGCAAGTTCACCGCCTGCCCGGGGCGCACGGCGCGCGGCGGTGCGGCTCATTCTGCCGCCCTGCGTGCGAAGGGGAGGCCGCGCCCCCGCGCCCCCGCTCGCGCCGTGCCTGCCGCCGCCACCCGCCCGGCCGCCGGGCCGGCCACGGAGCTGCCGCTGCAGACTCGGCGGCGCCGACGCACCTGCAATCAGGCCCCGCGCCGCGCCGCCGCCTCGCGCCCAAGGCCGCCTCGCGCCGCGCTCGCAGCTGATAAGAGGCGGCGGGGGAGGGGCGCAGGATGCTGGCAGGGGGCGGCGGGGGGGGGGGCGGCTGGAGCGGGCTCCGCTCCCCTCTCCTGCCCTCCCTCTCCCTCTCCTTCTCCCTCTGCGATGTCTCTCCCCAAAGTCTCTGACTTGCCCATGTCTCTGTCTCTTGTCTGCCCCTCTCCCCTAAATTCCCTCCCCAGCCCCCGCCGCGAGTGCTTGTGTGCGCGCGCGTGTGTGAATGTGTGCGTGTGTGTGTTCCCAGTCCCCCCACCTCCTATACCTGTCTCTGTGCACTCCCCGACCACTGTCTCCCACCCCCGTCTCTCTGATTCTCTCCATCTCTACTGATTCTCTCTTTTTCTCTCTCAGCATTTCCTCTTAGTCCCTCCCTGTTCTTTCTCTCCATTTTTCTCTTCCTCACCTAATTTGGAGCCAATTCTTCCCCTCTCCCTCTCTCTGTCCTCTCTCCTTCTCTCCATTTTTCTCACTCTGACTTGCCTCTCCCTCTCTCCCTCCCTTCCCTGTCTCTTGGAGAGTCCTTGCCTGTCCTCCTTTTCTCTCTGCATCTTTCTCTAGGTGTCCCCAACTCCCTCTCACTTCTCCCTTAGTTCTGTTCTTTCACTCATTTATCGTATCTCCCCTTTCCTTTCCTTTCCCTTTTCCTTTCCTTTCCATCTCCCAGGTCCCTTTCCATGACTCTGCCCGTCCCCTGCTCCATCTCAGCGTCCTGTGACACTTTCTCCATGGCCGGCCTGCCCTCAGAGCCAGAGGCTGCAGGAACAGCTGGAACCCCCCAGCAGGCAGGGCTCAGCAGGTGTCCTGACTTCAGGGGACAGGAGTGTGCTCACCTGGGTGCCTTTCATCTGAGGCTCTGGCACACTTCACAAACAGTCATTAAGGCCCGCCTGGGGGCAGGTCAGGGACTATCGCAGCCTGGGCTGTTTGATTATCTTCGTTATTAATACACATCCCCCTGCCTTAAATGAGTTTAGTGCAGGGGACAGAATCCCGACTGACGCCTGGAGAGATTAAGGTTTCCGAGGGTTGCACAGGCCAAAGATGACAAACTGATACAGCAGGGTGTGAGTTTCTGCTGCTTCCTTCCTGCAGTGTAAGCTTCTGCCAGGAGCTTAGAAAACACCTTTTCTGAGACCGCTCCAGGGGTCAAGAGATGGGGCTAGATTTCTCTGAAAATCCTGGCCTGGCAGTCTGCTTTGCACCAAACAAGTCAGCAGGGATCTCAGTGGGAACCCACCCCGTTTTGCGCTTGAATAAATTCAGGATTGATGGGAGAAGAACTGTGACATAGGGCTTATTTGTGTGTTCATTTTTCTGATCAGGTGATGCATCCAGATAGTATCAGTAGTGAAACAACAGGGGGGCGCAGGAGTTGGGGTGCATCAGCATCTCAGGAACTGCATCTGGGCCAAAGTCACTGGGCCAAGAAGGCCAACAAGGTCATGCCAAAAGCCCTTTCGTTGGGCAGCTTTGCTTCATGAAGGCAGCTCAGATCCACATTCAAGCCCATTTACCCAGCCAGCCCTTCCCTCCAAACTCCCCAAAGTGTTATTTCTTTTTTTTTTTTTTGGTTAAGATGGAGTCTTACTCTGTTGCCCAGGCTGTAGTGGTACAGTGGTGAGATCTCGGCTCACAGCAACCTTCGTTTCCTGTGTTCAAGCAGTTCTCCTGCCTCAGCCTTCCAAGTAGCTGGGATTATAGGCACCTGTCACCACACCCAGCTAAGTTTTGGATTTTTAGTAGAGACAGGCTTTAGCCATGTTGGCCAAGCTGGTCTTGAACTCCTGACCTCAGGTGATCCACCTACCTTGGCCTCCCAGAGTGCTAGGATTACGGTGTGAGCCACCACGACAGGCTTCAAAAGGGATATTTCTGGCACCTACTCTGGTGGCAGCAGTCATAACTAATGCTCACTGATTAAGCTCACACGTCCCTGTAAATAAAGACAGAGCCTGTGTGTTGAAGCCTCCAGGATGGTTGGAATTGGGGGCAGGGGGAGTGGCAAAATTGCTATGGCCATTTGAGTGTTTTTCGCTAACTCTGCGTCTGGTATAAGACGTTGTGGTCTAGTTGGGCATCATGGTGCGTGCCAGTAGTATCAGACTATAGATACTTTGACTATCTCTGTAAAGAACTTCGCTTTTCTGCTTAGCAAGTAGTCCAGCTCATAAAGTACAATAAAACAAAGTGTCTATTGTAGAATCTAACCTCCTGAGTATACAGGTAGTGACTAAAATTCTTCCAGCTTTCCTGTTTATTTGAACATTTTTATAATAAAAGCTAGGAACAAAAGTATAGAATGTCCGCCGGCACCTAGGAGAATATTTGGTCTGTAAATCAAACTTCTTGTCATCAAAGATCAGGATCTGGCTAATAATTAAATCACATGCAGAATCTGGATGCTGAGTGGCTCTCTTTGAGGAAAAAGAAATGCAGCCTGCTTGGCGGCCCAGCCCAAAGCTAGCCTGGAGGAGCCACAGCAGGGGCCTGCGATGGAGAAATCTAGAATCTGATTACATGCAGGCCACTGACTCACGCCGTGATCTTGAGTAAGTAAGTTTACCACTCGGTGTCCTGTTTTTCCATCTGTGAGATGGGGATGATAACATGGGGCTGCTGGGTCAAGCAAGCAGATAACTTCCAGAAAGCCCTTTGAGCTTCTTGGAAACAGCACTCGAGATATGATTAGGCGCCAGTGTGCTGCAGAGATGTGTGCCCGGTGGCAATTGGAATGATCCAGGTCTAGTCTTGGCAGAAGTGGTCCTCCGGCTGTAAACAGAGCTTTCAACTCCTCCACCTGGTGTCCTGTGTCTCATCTCCCCTTCGCCCTGCCTGCCCCCACCTCTGCTTTCCTGCCCCTCCCTCCACCACTCCCCAACACAGCTCCAGCCTGAAATGCTTTCTCCTCCTAAAACCTCCTGCTCTTATACCCCAGTCATGTCTTACAGCAGTTATGTCAATAAGAAGCAGTAATTAGTATTATAGCAGCTTCCATATTATTTTATAGGCCCTGTACTAAGTGCTTTAAAAGCATTGTCTCTTTCAATTCTTACAAAAAAATCACCCAGGTAGATAGTCTTATTATGACTCTTTTACATATATTTATAAAACTGATAGCTACCAACTCCAAAAAACTTTTCCTAACTTATTCCATTAAGAGACAACTCACACTAGGTGCTTTACATACATGGTATCATGCAGCCCTCACCATAGCCAAGCAAGATGAGACCTCATTGTCTTGGCTTCACAGATAAGCCTGCTCTGAGTCTTCATCAATGCTGTTACTCTCCCTCATCATACTTCAGTATATTTTCTTTGACTTCTATCAAAAAGCTGTTTTGCCAGTTTCCCTAGTATTTCAAGGGTGCACAGACACCTCCAAGGTATGTTTTATTTGCTGTAAAAACAAAACTCTGAAGTCTCAGTGGTTTATGACAATAAAACTAAATACAAAGCAAGTTGGCAGAGGGCTCTATTCCATGCAGTCATTCAGGGACCCAGGATCCTTCCACTTCATAGCTCTGCCTTTTCTATGTCTTTAAAGTCTTCTTTTGGCAAGTAGATGGGAAGAGAGAGCATGAAGGATGATGTGGGAGGTTTTTAGGGGCCAGGCCTAGAAGTCAGGAATATCACTAATGCCCGCCATTTATTAGCCATAACTTAATCACAGGGTCTTACTCAACTCCCAGAGACACTAGAAAAAGTAATGAAGCTTGTGTCTAGGAGGCAAAAGAAGAGAATTTTGGTGAACATATAGCAGGCTCTGCCACAAAGTCTCAAGAATACATAGATGGGGAAAAGAGATGTCCTTTTTCTGTAGCAGTTCCAAAATTCAGTATTTTCAGAGCTGTGCACCTCACTCCTAACCCTGAATAATCTCTTTATAACACACCACCTGGGATTTCCAGCCCCTTGAATAAAAATGAAATAAAAGGAACAGGTGCAGTGGCTCACACCCATAATCCCAACACTTAGGAAAGCCAAGGCAGGCAGGCAGGTCACTTGCAGTCAGGAGTTCAAGACCAGTCTGGCCAAGATGGTGAAACCCCATCTCTACTAAAAATACAAAAATTAGGTGGCTGTGGTGGCACACTCCTGTAATCTCAGCAACTTGGGAGGCTGAGGCAGGAGAATGGCTTGAACTTAGGAGGCAGAGGTTGCAGTGAGCTGAGATCATGCCACTGCACTCCAGCCTGGGCAACAGCATGAGACATCTCAAAAAAAAAAAAAGAAAAGGAAATTAAAATATCTGTCCCAGAAGTCTTGACTTCTTGCTAATAGAACTTCCTTACAGGAAAAACAGGAAGTCTGACCACGTCCAGGTTTAAAACCTGTCAATGAGGCCAGACACGGTAGGTCACACCTGTAATCCCAGCACTTTGGGAGGCCGAGGTTGGGAGTTCAAGACCACCCTGGCCAACATGATGAAACCCTGTCTCTACTAAAGATATAAAAAATTAGCCCGGCATGGTGGCGTACCTGTAATCCCAGCTACTTGGAAGGCTGAGTCAGGAGAATCACTTGAACCCGGGAGGCAGAGGTCTCAGTGAGCCGAGGTCACGCCATTGCTCTCCAGGCTGGGAGAAAGGTGACAGTGAGACTCCATCTCAAAAATTAATTAATTAATTAATTAATTAAATAAAAACCTGTCAATGACTCCCCAGGAATAAGTCCCTTCCTCTTGTCAAGTGATGCCTTCCCTTTGGGATGTGGCTCTGCTCACCTCCCCAAGCTCATCTTCCATTACTACTGCAGTGCCTCTTCCTCTGTGATCACTCACACCAGGCTCTTTCTCGTCTCCAGGCATTTGTGCCCGCAGCTCCCTCTAGCTGAAATACTCCGCGCCAGCCCCTCCCGACAGCTATAGAGCAAGCTCTTCACCCTAACAAAAGAGCCCCTGTTTCTTGAATGCCTTCAGTGCCTTCATAGGAGTCTCCAGGCCTTCCTACATTGCTGTAGCTATTGGTGTGCATTTTCTCTCAAGCAGTGACCTACTCGGCCAAGCCCAATCTGCAGACATAACCCCTTGGAGGGCACAGTGTATGAGGGAGGGTGGCTGGGGAGATGCAAACATCTCCTTTAGAACTGGCTGGCCTCTCCTCACCTACAAGTTTGTAGCAGTTGCTATGCTTGGCCTATCCAACCACCGCTCTTCATAGCTTCCATTCTAAAAGAGCCCAGTTTTTCTTTCATTGCCCCTGTGCTGCTTGAAAAACATTTTGATTGGTTAAAGTCAATCATGTAACCTCCTCTCTTCTTGCTAATGATTGGTAGAAGAGAGAACATATGACCCCCATGAGAAGGCAGCTGCTAGGAGCCACTTGGAAAGGTTTCTTTGCTCTATAAATAAACACAGAAGAAATGGACCCTTTTCTGGCTTCAGCCACGGGTGTTTGAGAGAAAGTGACACTTGAAATGGCACAGTCAACCTAGAGCAGCTGCTGAAGGAAAAGACAGAAGGAGCCTCTGACTTCAATGATATTGTTGAGTTGCTGGATTACTCAACCCTGGAACCATCTTAACTGCATTTCTTGGTCTATAAGATTTAAAATTCCTGATGTTTAATTCATCTGAATCTTTGTTTCTTGTCATTTGAAGCTAGTAATGTTCTAACAGGTGACAATGTAAATTCTCATCCCAAAGTAATTTCTCATCCTTCACCCCTTCCCTTCCTCCCACACTTCCAAGTCTCCAATACTATTATTCCACACTCTATGTCCATGTGTACATGTTATTTAGCTCCCATTTATAACTGAGAACATATGATATTTGGCTTTCTGTTTCTGAGTTGTTTCACTTAAGATAATGGCCTCCAGTTCCATTCATGTTGTTACAAAAGACATGATTCCATTCTTTTTCATGGCCGAATAATATTCCATTGCATATAAATACTAAAGTTTCTTTACCCAATCACCCAAAGACACTATTACCAATTACATCAAGACAACTGAAGTAAACTGTGGGGCTGAAC